AATTACTAAAACTCTAACAAAGTGAATAAAATTTTAATGTAAGATAGTTCAAAGATGTTTATTCAAAAATTAAAAAAATACCATCTGGGTTTCTGCAAGTTGATGGCATCATACTGCCTAACTCTGATTTCCAGCTGCCTTACTCATTCAACGTACAGGGCAAATCAAGTCTACATGCAAGCTCTATAAGTATCTGACGAGTACAGTTCATATCAGAAAGTTTGGTTAAATCTGTCCTTCGCATGAGTTTATTTTAATAAGGCTTATGTCTGAGGAGCCTTCAGGAGCCAAAGCTGAAAGGACCCAAATAGTTCAGCTTCAGTAATCAATGCCAACTGATCCTGAGGCCACTATAAGCTTAATTTTTAAAGCATCACACAGAGGAGAAAATCCTGGTTTTGAGTTAAGAACCATGTTAACACTAGCAAAAATCACTGTATGATGCTCCTAAAACCGCTATGGTTTTGACCAGCTTCTGAGATCTTTGAGAAAGCTTGCATATTTTACAGACAGATAAAAACGTAGCTTCCAAAAAAACTGTGCAGCAACAGCTTCAAGCCTGAAGCCATCCATCATAGATTGCATTTTTAACATTGCATGCACAATATCTTATTTCTTTGTAAGTTGTTACACTGGTCAAGTCAGAGGCAGGTATGTATCACCTAACTATAGCTACACTGTTCAGTAGGCTGGTTATTTCAGGTGATTTAAAGCAACAAGGACAGTGAAACAGAGTACCAGTAGACTTAACAGTGATAGCTTATTCACAGGAAGCAACAATAATAGCATTTAATCTTAAATTTTAAAATTCAATTTCATGATTTGGCAAAATGCACAAATTTTGATATAAATTGGTCATTTTCTTGGGCACAGATACAAGTGTTTTGGTAATACATCAGTGATGAAGACCTAGAGGAAAAAAGCTCAATAAAGTGTAATTAAGACATACCACTGTTTCCTCCAGCCCCTTAAGATCTTCTCTTGCTTGTTCCCTTTTATCATTAAGCAGTCTAGAAAGATCACATTAAACACAAATCAAAAATGTTGAAGTCATGTAAAACAGAAAAGAATCAATCAACATTCACTTTGAGTAGAACATCTGCAGATGTGAGCAAATTGTACATCTCTCTGCATCTGTAATGATGCTTTCAACTGTCTCAAATATGCAGTTTTCTCACATGGAATGGCTGAGCCACCATCTCCATTTTTTGTGTCCACACATGAAATTTTTATCTCTCATTTCCAGGAAAGGCTTTTACTCAGACATCTGATTTATTACGTAAAAAACAAAACCAAAAAACCAAAAAAACCACCCCAAACCCCCAACTTCTTTCTTGTTTGTTTTTGCTGTGCATTAAGGAATGAGGCATTTAACACTTGCTATGACATTTCATAAAATCAGAGCTTTAAAAAAATCTTTTTTGGCAAGTATCAAATCCAGTATTAAATATAGGGGATACTATGATATAAAAATACGGAGTAATTGGTAATCATTTATTAGTACTGCATGTTGGCTTTGTTACTGAAATGATCTTTTCCTTGTTAATATTTCAACACAAATGCTTCTCACTAGGACATTTCCTGTGGACACATTAAAAGACACTATATTCAAGGACACCAGATGAGAAAACTGTTGACTTACATGAGCTTTTCCAGTTTCATTTCTCTTTCCTGGTCCTCAATTTTTAATTTATCATAATCAGCACTCAGTTTCTCTTGTTCCAGTTGCAGCTTCTGATTCATACTGGATTGTGAAAGAAAAAGTCAGTACAGCTCAGTCCTGATCCCCATAAACAAGGGTGGGTAAACCCCCATAAACAAAAGACAGAGAAAGTAAAGCTGTAACTCTGTATTGAAAAATTCTGAAAGAAATTAAGCATAACGAATCTGAAGAACAGTATTTAAAAATATTGGAGAATTAAATTCAGTGGCTTGCTTCCTTTATCTTAAAGGACACAAACTGTTCTTGCAATCTTTCTGTCCCGCTTCCTCATGTTTCTCATTTCCCTATTATTAGTCTTTGGCCACACAATAAATATGATGAGAGAATGAACACTACATCTGGATTTTATGAAGAGTGACAAAAAGAAGAATACAGAAGCAAAGAACTCAGTTTTCCAAGTGCTGGAGTATCTGACTAATGGAGTTACATTGCTGTGTCAGGAAGAAATACTAAGGGTGTGAAAATGGGACACGTTCGAGTCACCCAGACTTGCAGAAAGTCTGTGACAGGACTAGTAGCTGTAAGAGGCCCTCAAAACCTTTATCTTTTAAAATCTGTTCTCCTCCAAGCTTCTCTGACCTGCAGGTGTAACATTATTCTTTCTTTTTCCTCTCTCTAATTTTATGGACTTGTTAAAGCTCCACAGTAAAGCACTAGGCATTAGAATCCACCGTGCAAAATAATTAGAGAGTTGGCTGTTGCATGTAAGGACACTACTTTCTGTAAGACACCGAAATATATAGACATCATTAAAACTAACAAAACAACCCCAAAACATCCCTACAGTGTCACAGAACAGAACAGGAACAGAGAAAGAGATGGAGCGAGTGAACATACTCTCTGATTTCATCAATTATTTTCTGCTTCTCTTCAATTTCATCCCTCAGCCTGGACAGCTGCTTCTGGTGGGCTTCCCTGTGACTCTCCATCTGCTGCTCCAGTGCCTTCTGCAGAGTGCAAAAACCAGAGCCATACATGAAACAGAAACCAAGTAACACGCAGCTAAGCTTCCTTCTTCCCTATCAGCTAAATCAACCTATCTTTCTGGATTTGAGTGAAGCTTATCAAATCAGGTGTCGTGGTTTAACCCCAGCCAGCA